GCACCAAGGGAACCCCTGCACATGGTAGAGAGGGGAGCGAGACGCCAAAAGCATATGTCTTGAAGATAGTGGACTTCAGGGATCTGACAACGTGTGTGAGTTACATACACACCCAGGTATTTTGTCTCATTCTTCTGCCTTATCGTTTGTTATTTTGCTTCCTGGTTTTCTCTTTTTCTTTTAGTTATAATTCTATTTCTCTTTTACTTCTTCATCTCTTCATCTTCTGATGATTATTTTTTATTTTTTTCTTCCTTCTATTCTTCCTTTTGCTTCCTCGTCATTTCTTCTCTATTACATTTTCTGTACTTCAGTGAGTTCACCGAAACCTTACGAATAAAAAAAAATCTTTAACTGTCCAAATGATTCTTACTTACGGACGAGTATAAAGTATTATCGTGGAGGAATCTTTTAAAATCATTATTCCGGTTTTGTAATTGTAACTGTTCTTTCTTACCGTTGTGGCGTCTGGTCTTTGTTAAGTATCAGCAGTCAGTCGTGTTTTTATCGTTTGTGTTGCCAGTTGCTCTCTAAGGTGAGGTGTAAGTAGGGAGGGGAATGAGGGAGGTGTGGGGATGTGGAAGGAGGAAGTGAAATGAGGAGGTTAAGTTCATTATTTTAGGTCGGTCGGTGCAGGAGGGTGAGGGTGGGAGGGAAATAGCACACTGGTTAAGAAGGGTGAGTGGGTGGGTGGGTGAGGAAATTGATAGCTGGGTGGAAGAAAATTTTCCAGATAGCGGTTTCTCTGTTCCTCCTCCCCCTTCACACATGACACCCCCACATCCCTTCCGACAGACATGCACCTGACGCCCGCCCTTCCCCCTCTCTTATAAATATACTGCCGACACTCCCCTCTCCCCTCACACATAAACACTCCGCTCCCCCTACACACACACACAGAGAGAGAGAGAGAGAGAGAGAGAGAGGTGTATGCTTGTGCCGGCTTTCTCACCTGTATGTATTAAGCTCAGACCGGATCTCCACACACACACACACGCACACACACGCACACACGCACACATTCCTATACTATTACCAGTTTTTCCTCCCCCCCCAAACTGAAGGCGTTAGAGGTTAAGACTGGTTGGGTTAGGTTTATGATAGCCCCCTTACTGCTGTGTTGAGGATGTACTGGAGAATGGCCCAGTCATCTCTTAGTGCGTCCGTATGATGTGACTAGCTATCCTTTTATTTATTTGTTTATGTTTTTGTCTCGAATTTTCTTTTGTGCGTCTTTTTATCCTGTATTTTTCTTGTTCTCGCTTCTCAGTTTGTCTGTCTGTATGTTTGTCTCTTACTGTGTCTACTTGAGAGAGAGAGAGAGAGAGAGAGAGAGAGAGAGAGAGAGAGAGAGAGAGAGAGAGAGCGATGTAGCAGCCGCCCTTCCTGTGTGACGTTTCTTGACGTTACGTGTTCACGGCCATCACAGGAACCCCGTCTCATGTCCATTATTCCCATCACGGACAACAAAAGATCTTGGTTCGTTCTCCCCCAAACAACAGGAGTAAAATATAATAATTTGTATTGGCAACAGGTAGAAATAGATTAGAATTCTCTCTTTCGTTGTAGTGCCTTCAGCACGTCAGAGCGACAGCAAAAGATTGCGCGTTAACATCACACATGGATTACTCTCCCATGCAATCTCAATCATTGCACTGAATAGTTGGGATTTCCTCAACCGAGTTCAATTGCTATCCAAAGTGAAATGATTGTTGCACTGATGTCATGCTATCCTTCCCCTCCAGCGTGTTATAACAGTTATGAATATTTCTAAGTCACTTCAAGTACAATAAACTCCTTCAAACTAATGTGACATGAATGTTTCCTCAGTCATATCAAACACGAGTCATGTTATTTTTTACTACAAGAAACACAGCGTGAAACAGATAAACCGTATTTTATGTTTTTCAACAAATTTCTAAACCTGCGGGAGAGAGAGAGAGAGAGAGAGAGAGAGAGGGGGTGGGGGATTCCTCCCAGTTTAACGACCTCTGTTCTTGTGAGAATAGTTTGTTACGCTAGGCTGACAGGGCATGGGTTGTTTGGTCATGCTTGTGTGGCGCTGTAAATGGAAGGTGAATACTAAAATATTCACAGAGAGAGTGAAAGGGAGAGATATTCGTGCCATACACCCATACACTATGCAGATCGTGTTGCTATACATTACTGTACCCGGTACCAGCGGCGGTGGAACAGTTCTGTAAATTACGGCAGAGTTCACAGTGTTTGGGTAACAAATTTGAATGTTTGGGTAACAAATTTGAATGTTTGGGTATCTATTTAAATTATTTTTACATATTTAATATAATCCGTATTTTGTGAATGTTGCATAGATTAAAGGCATTGGCCATTGGCTGCTGCTCCACGGATCCGCACCACACACATGTTTCTTCACGTGTGTAGTCTGGGATAACTCCACCACCCTCTACACTCCCGAGCTCCGACCCCTGTAACTAAGATCCGTTTCTAAGCCTAAACTCACACCTAAGAGAGCGCTATTTTGAGGATGATAAAACGGAGAAGGAGGCTACTGAGACGAGGTTAAGAGGGGGCAGTATACGAAGACTTCTTTAAGACTGACATAGTGAGTTTGAAGGACAAGACAAGCAAGTTTATTAAAATCAAGGGTGATTATAATAAAAACTAAAATAACACTTGTGGTTCCAACTTTCTATAATATATTCAGTTCGCGAAACTCTTTAGACGCCTCACATAAAATACTGTAGGCGTGTGGGTCCCTTAAGTACAGTAGGCTACTCTGTCTCTACTGGACCTCGGACACACAAATGAGTGTCATAGCCAGAGGGCGTGACGATCACATAGGGACGAAAATACCGTTGTCTAATCAAATATAACGGTATGGCTATCAAGGCATCAGGAGTGTTCGTAGGTTAATTTAGGTTGTGTTTGGTTCGGTTGTGTTTGGTTAGGTTAGGTTGTGTTTGGTTAGGTAAAGATAGATTAGAATAAGTTAGATTAGGTTAGGATAGGTACGGGATAAATTTCGTTAGGTTAGGCTGAGTTGGGTAGAGGTAGATTAGATTAAGTTAGGTAAGGATAAGTTAAGTTTCGTTAGATTAGCTTAAGTTACATTAAGTTAGTACTGATGTTATTCACTCACAGTTTGGTCAGGTTAGGTTAGGTAGTTTGCACTACGTTTATCTACATATTTGCTTTACATACCTGTACACATCATTTGAATTTACGAGAACAAAAATCAGAATAAACTGAAATTGGCACTTTAACTCAGTTACCCTGAAAATGTATTATATGTGCAATACAGTGTGTATGGACTGAGTTTATTGTATACCCTATCAGACAATATACTGAGAGAGAGAGAGAGAGAGAGAGAGAGAGAGAGAGAGAGAGAGAGATGTATAAAAAGACAGAAATTAAAAAAATAATACGAAGAATAACTTACCTAAGTTATCCTCGTATTATCTTTGATGTAATTCTCCCGTCGGTGAATGACCCCTTACGTTATTTTCGTTTGTTCTTAACGTGGACGAATGAACCGACGGGCAGCCCGGAGCCAGCATGTCACCTGAATGATAATTGCATAACGGAAAGTAGCTCCGCGACCCTCATTCTGCTTTTACTCTACCATCGGGTAATCGACCCTGAGCTACCTCTGGCTGCTATCACTGAGATTATGCGCACACACACACACACACACACACACACACACACACACACACATACATATGCTTCCTTATCGGCCGACGTCAACCTTACATTTCCGAGGGGCTGTCTCCACTTTTCAGTCAGTCACCTGCGGCGTTCCCCAAGGCACTAGAATGGGGCCGCTTTGATACATCATCCGCTCAACGGTGCCCTGAAAGATACTCAGGCTCGCTAGAAATAGTCGACGATTCCACCATTGGCATCACTGTGAACAACTCGGTTCCTCTCCTAATTACAGCTCCCTCCAAAACACTCAACAGTATCCAAAATTAGTCCGACAACAACCATGTCACCATCAACCATATCAGAACCATAGTTATGCACATCAACCTCTCCTCCGACCATGTCCCACCTCCCTTCATCACACTGAGCCCCAACACACTCCAGGTTGCAAACTCCACCAAGCTCCTCGGCGTCACTATAGATAACAAACTGAACTGAAAGGCACACAACAGTACAACCATCAAATCTTCCAGCTATCATCAAAACCACCTACTCTGTCGTCTCACTCCCTCAGAGTCCCCGCGTCTGACGTAATGAATGTTTACACAACATTCATACAACCTAAACTAACCTATGCTTTCCCTGAGTGGTCTTCTTCCTTAAGTACTACACAACGAGGACTCCTAGAGAGAGTGCGGAAGAGGGCGTGCAAGACTATTCTCTACCCTCCCTACATCACGTATCAAGAGACACCCAGTACACTGGTCTTCTGACCACCATCGTGGCCTCATTTGTTAGTTTAGAACAAAGCTGTCGCGTCATCTTTGCCACCACCACTTGCCACCAGTAAGTGGGATACCGCAACCCATCCAACTCACTCTACCTTGTACTGATTGCTACATTTTCAACTCGTAAAAAAACAATCACCAACTTGTCGATAACTTTTGTATTTACTGCTTGTCTAATCTCCCTTTTGTACTGTAACTATGCAGAAAGTCCTTGTTAAATGGCTCTCCTCCGTGTCATATATTATACATGTATACTGTACTACTTACTGTTTGTCTCTTTTCAAATTATGGCTGCTATAGTGTTAAAAAAGCCGTTAATTATTATTATTATTATTATTATTATTATTATTATTATTATTACACCAAGACACCTCACCATCACACTACACCAACACACTACACCACCACACCACACCAACATACCTCACCAACACACCAACACTGACAGACTCATTCCTTAAACAACTGGAAAACAAAAGACAATTAACTAATATAAATCAACACCAGTACACTAACGTTCGTCAACTTTATATTTATATTAGGAAAAGTTTTACAGCACAAATGTAACAATAAAAACTCACTGACCTCATTACACCAGATGACGCTCGGAGTGTGGTTCCTCTGCCAAATCCAGTGTGTGTTGATGGTGTCTTGGTGGCTGAGTGAGGACCTACACACCTCTCCCACACGACTTGCTCTCTCAACCATTACCCTCACCCTCTCCTTCACGAACTGGCGATCCTATATGTGTGAGTGATATAGTTTAGCTATATTGGGGATGTCTTAGATAAATAGTTAAGGATGGTATAATGTATTGGGTGATATAGAAACTTTATTTTAGGTTAGGTTAGATTAAGTTAGATAGGTTAAGTCAAGTTAGGCACGTCGAGATGAAAATAGCCCAAAATATTAAAAAAGATCCCAAGTCTTTTTATGAGTATGTCAGGACTAATTGAGCTCTGCCCTATTGTGTCTTGTCTGAAGGTACTGTAGTCAAGGCCCTCATTTTATTTGGACAATGGTGATATAGTTCTGGAATCATGTTGGTAACTCTGTGTTGCACCTATTCTAGGGATGTTAGGTCTTTTTGGAGGTAGGGTTTCCATACATGTATACAGTAATCCAGACTGGGACGTATGTGAGATTTATACAGTTGAAGGAGCATTTTCCTGTCTTTGTATTCGGAGGTACAGTACGCTTTATAATTTCCATATCTCGGTTTTCCTCACTGCTGTCCCCACTTGCGCTGCCTTCAGTGAATGATCTATCACGACGCCTAGATCTTTCTACTTTTCAACAGTATCCAGGAAAGTGGTATAAACAGAATATGTGTTGTATCCGATGTGTTGGGTCGTATATTTCGTAATGTTACACACCATTTGCCAGTCTCGAGACCAATTGAACAGCTTATGCAGGTCTTTCTGCATAGTGGCGACATCGTCTGGTGAAGCAAATGATATAGTAGTTACGAGTTGCTTCATTAAATTATTAGTGTTTTCCATTTTTTTTTAATACGTGAAATAAATTAAGAAAGTTGTCGTTGATATATTATTCCCGTGATAATCCCATGTTTCTCCTCGTGTCTCTATAATATACACAATAATAATACAAGCAGAACTAATTCGTCTATAATCTAAGAGACAACACAGAGACAATTTAACGTCACTTGTGTGGATGGTTGAGTCATGTCATTAGTGAGCTTGATAAGGCTTTAGTAATTAACAAAATCTTGTTAGAAGACCATTTAATTCAACTTGTGTCCTCGGCGATGGCTGCTAGCGTCTTGAGGGAGTTGCAGTGGAAGGAGAGTTGAATAGAGAGAGATGGGAGAATAAAATCTGGTTAACTTGAAGGGAGACAGGGAGGAAGTGTGTGTATGTATATCCTACCTCACCTGAGGGAGGAACTTGAAGTAATTAAGACTTCTGAGGATCGCTGCACTAGACGGCTCCAGACTCATCGGCCACTTCTTCTTCTTCCCCCTCTTCTTCCCCTTCTTCTTCCTTTTAGACATCTTATCACTTCTCGTCTTGTTTCTAGGGACGAAATTCATCTCTTTCGTCTCATTTCGACTAGATATCTTCATGGTCATAACTTCATCGTCTACAGAAGCTGGAGACGAGACAACAGGTGTATGTGGCGTCTTGGGGCTCAGCACAACGGCAGACTTGACCTTCTCTTGTGTAGAATTTACTAGCGTCAGGGGCTGCGGCTCAGTGAGGATCGTGGCTAGACTGAGGACCTCACTCTGGTTATATTTATGGATGCTGAGGAACGACAGGTAGAGGGCGATAACGAGGAGTAGACCAGGTACGATGACCACCTGTCTTCTCCTCATGTTGGTCACAGTCGCACACCTTTACTACTCTTGCCTGTAAAAAGAGTCGAAAATACACATTTAAATATATAATCACCTGAAGATTAGGCACCCTAGTTTATTTACCCTGAGGAGTAAACACCCAAATGTTAAGCTAACCTAACCCAATTAATCTAACCTAACCTTACGCTAAGTTAATCTAACCTAACTAAACCTAAACTAACCTAACCAAACCTAACTAACCTAACCTCCTCGGTAGCATTAAGATGTTTAATCATCAGGTGAAATAAGTAAAGTTTGGTTAGGTAGGTTAGGTTAAAAGTTAGATTAGGTTAGCATTAGTTAGATTAGGTTAGCATTAAGATAGATTAGGTTAGCATTAAGTTAGATTATGTTAGCATTAGTTAGATTAGGTTAGCATTAAGTTAGATTAGGTTAGCATTAAGTTAGTTTATATTGGCGTTGCATAGGTTAGGTTTGTTTAGGTTGGCGTTAGGGTGCTGAGGTTTGCTTAGGTTAGTATTAGGATAAATTAGGTTAGCGTTAGGGTGGTTAATCATCAGATAATTTAGTTAAGGGCCAATCTTCAGTTAACCACATAAAAAAAATTTCTAAACAATCCTGCTCGAGTCTCAACAAAGTTCCACCAGAGGTCAAAGAGTCAGTCACCTTGCAACACTTCTCGTCATACTTCCCGTTATAAATGTCGGCGTTTGGGCGCTGAAAGACCGTCTGTAGTATACCATAAACTTTCGATCAGAATTTACTAAAGGTTCTCTTATACTTTGTGCTGATATGTGTCATTTTATAATATACTGTATAATGTATAAATATTAGGCAGTAATAATCTACAGTAGTTTTAGTTAGTTTAACAAATTTATTGACAAAGCTTGGAGTACAGTTTGCCTATTTTGAATGATTCAGTTAGACACCGAGGGTGGTATCACTTCTCACTGCCACGCAGGACAGAGGTTCATACACAAAGGAATAGATCTTATTCATTATTATCAGTATATATATAGGTCAGATTCATGTGGGTTGATGTTGCTGTTCACTGCCATGCAGGAAAGAGGTTCGTACACAAAGAAATACATCATATTCATTCGCAGTATATATAGGTCAGAGTCATGAGGGTGATGTCACTGTTTACTGCCATGCAGGACAATGGTTCATTTACATTGGACGTCATCTAAATGAAGACTAATCAGTGTGGGCTAGCAAATTTTGGATAAACAGCAAGAATTTCCTCAAGCACCCTGATTCAATGTAGTAATTACAAAGTTCAGTGAGCGATGCAGTGAGCAGTACTCTTTCCGGGACGAAACCCATAGAGGTCAGGGTGCAGATGGGCTTCAATTTTCCAGTGGCGTATCATGCGTTCAATCATCTTTGAGAAGCAGGAGATGTGGGAGATTGGACGATATCCGTCTTGTCTGCCTGGTTTAGGGCCTGGGATGGTGGTGACAGTCTTCCAGAAGAGAGGCAGCTGTCCAGTATCATAGGAGAGGTTAAATAAACAAAGGAGGGGATCACCAGGGGTTGCAATAAGGGCATTTAGCACGTCATATGTGACGCCATCATCGCCAGGAACGGTGGACCGACCGCGCTTAGCAGCATTTAGTAGTTCACACCGTGTGAAAGGCACGTCAGTGTCTGCAGGTAGGTCTTGGTATTCAGAGATGCGCTGTCGGCGTTGTGCTTGCAGTGCGATGATGAGGTCATGTACAGCGGGTGGTAGCGCGTCGATGGAGGCGGCCTCCTGCCACGTCTGATAGAGCTCCTCGGCACGGGCAGCAGGTCTGGGGTGAAGCGTGGGCCTGGCGTTGGTGCTCCGGGCACGGTTAATGGTGCGCCATATATCACTAATAGATGTAGACTGGTCAATAGAAGAAGCGAAATCAAACCATTGCTTCTCTCGTGCGAGAGTGATGGCAGATTGGAGCTCTTTATTTGTGCGTATCAGGAAGCGTAGAGAGTCAGGGGAGCTGGGAGATTTCCACTGGTCGACTGCTAGTCGGTGCCATACTCGGATAGACTTAACATGAGGGTCACGGCTAACATTCCACTGACTCCTGGGCTGGCGGTTAGGGCGGCGGTGTTTTGGGTCAGGGCGGAGGAGGTCAGTGCATTGTTTGGACAGATCAAGGTAGAGTTGGCATGTGGTGATGACAGTGTAACCCTGAAACCACTCATCAATGGTAGTGATGAAGGCAGGTATGTTAACAGGGGATAGACTGAGCTTAGGGCACTTGGGTGGAGTGGGTACTCTTAATAGGTAGTATGAGTGGGAGGAAACACAGGAGGTTAGTGGCCCAGTGAGACTTTTTGTGCAATAGAATCAAGTTTTTGTCTGATGGCAGAGTTAGAGTTACAGTTACTCGTATGTTACGATCTTACCGGAGAAAATATTTTGTCAGGTAAACTTAGAATGGTGTTAAGGCCTGACGAGAGATCAGTTAATTTTGAGGTGTTGGTGGATTGTTTTAGTAGCCTATGGAAGAGATACAGGAACATGTTTATATCACACACACACACACACACCATCTGCGAGGGAATTACTACACCACGTCAGGTCCCTCATAACACCATCTGAGGGAACTACTGCATCACGTGAGGTCCATCCTAACACCATCTGGGAGGGAGTTACTACACTACGTGTTTGCTGTTCAACACGTACAATCCTACATTAATCTGTATGTTCACTGTATGTTCCTTTACCTTTCTCTAATGAAGGCTTTTGTTAAACCACCAATGTATGTAATAAGTCATTTATGTTCAATGTATATTTTCAGCCTTCGGGCTGCAGAACATTTTCAATAAACCGTTAATTATTATTATTATTATTATTACATACATACACACATATACACACATCCCCCACCCACACACACATACACACCCACACACACACACACACACATACACACCCACACCCACACACACACACACACACACACACACCCACACACATACACACCCACACACACACACACACACACACACACACACACACCACACACACATACACACACACACACACACATACATACACCCACACACATACACATACATACACCCACACACACATACACATACATACACACACTCACACATACACACCCACACACACATACACACATCCCTCCCCCACACACATACACATCCCTCCCCCACACACCACACCCACACACACACATATACACCCACACACACACACACACATACACACCCCACACACACACACACACACACACCCACACACACACACACACACACACACACATACATACACCCCACACACCACACATACCCCACACACACACATACACACCCACCCCACACACACACACACACACACACACACTCACACATACACACATATACACATCCCCCCCACACACATACACACCACATACACACCCACACACACACATATACACACCCACACACACACACACACACACACATCCACACACACACATACATACACCCATACCTCACACATACACACCCACACACACACACACACACACACACACACACACACACACACACACCACACCAACACACACATATACACCCACACACACACACCATACATACACCCATACACTCACACACACACCACACACATACATACACCCATACACTCACACATACACACCCACACACACACACACACACACACACACACACACACACACACACACACACACTCACACATACACACCCACACACATATACACACACCGTACCACTACACTGAAGTTCCACGGATATGGTATGATCTCCCGTCTCTACTGCTATCCAACGTCACTTCCCTAGCTAACAAGTTTGACGAGCTGGCAACTACAGTCAGGTCAGCCGCGGCGAGCGTCGTTGCCATATGTGAGGCTTGGCAAATTGTGCCTGAAACGTGTCATATTGAGGGATATCAACTCTTTCATCACCTTCGTTCACATAGACGCGGAGGGGGCGTTGCCCTCTTCTGTCAAGATGACCTACGCCCGTCACGCCTGGATGTTCAAGTCCCAGCAGATGTGGAAGCATTATGGGTACGTGTTGTGCCACGGGCTCACCCGCGCCACACTGCTTCCATCATAATCTGTGTGGCATACCATCCGCCTCGCTCACCCACCAGAGACACTCTTATCAATCATCTCATTACCACCTCAGAGTTAGGTACCCATGTGCCAAGTTAGTATTATGTGGGGATTATAATGAAATTGACACCACTGATATCCAGGACCAGCTATCACTATCACAAGTTGTGAACTTCTTCACACACGGTCAAAATACCCTTGACCTTATCTTAACTGACTTAGCGGACCAGTACCAACCACCTCAACCAATGCCTCCTATCGGGTGTAGCACACACTTATCAGTGCTCTGGTCCCCAGCTGCCACTCCCACTCAAGTACAGAGACCCTACATCAAGACCTACAGGCCGATTGCTGACTCTGCAGTGCGCCTCTTCGGGCAGTGGATAGTTCACCATCCCTGGACTGAAGTACTTAGCGTGGATCACGTGGAAACCAAATGGATAAATTATACCAACACCACCACAGAAGCTCACCACCACTTCTTCCCCGAGAAATCCGTCAGATCTCACCCAGCTGACTTGCCCTGGATCACACCTCGGATCAAAAGACTTATGCAACAGAGAGACAGAGCCTTTCATCTCAATGACCACATCCGCTACAGGTCCCTTCGCAACCGAGTCATCCGCGAAATACGCACTGCAAAGAAGTCCCACTACCCAACCAAATTACAACACCTGAAGCAGACCAACATCAGTCAATGGTATGGTAAGCTTAAAGAACTCTGTGGACTAAACAATAAGACACACCCCCTCCCCTTCCTTAGCCATCTCACTAATGTTGACGCAGCTGAGCAATCAAATAACCATTTCGCTACTATATGCCAGACGCTCCCCGGCTTGACACAACCATCTCCCTGCTTACCTACCAGCCCCCTTTCCCACTGACTTAGTAGAAGAATTTGAAGTAGCAAAACGTCTGGACAAACTAAAATTAAAACGCTCTACCACCCCCA